CTTCACGGTAGTACGATTCACGTACTGGGGATAGTCTACGAAGCAGAATGGATGCCAACAGCTTAGAGGCAACCGAAATAAGACTAGTCCCGCGATGATTTGCACATGAAGTGCGAGCGCCTTTCTTGAAAATTGGGACAATAACTGATTCGCCCCAAGAGGGAGGCACTCTCTCTTCATGCCAAATTTTTGCGAACAGCGCGGTTAGCTGGTTAATGACTGCCACACCGCCATACTTGAATAGCTCCGGAGGAAGTCCGTCTAAGCCGGCAGCCTTGAAGCGCTTCAAGCGTCGAATCTCGAGGCAGACTTCCGCTTCGCTGGGTGGATTTAATGGGACTAGCCAAGGTGGACCGCAAGGTATACTGCATGTACTGATGGATGGGGGAGGCCAGTTGAACTGCGAGTGAAAGTGCTCGGCCCAGCGATCCATACGCCTCTGTTGGTTGGTGATCGGAGACTCATCCACCTCACAAATGACCTCACTGACACCAGGCTTCCTGAGGCCAGTGGACCGAATGAGTTGGAAAAGCCTGCGAGTGTTACCAGAGAGGGCAGCAGTCTCCATCTCTAAAGCACGCTCAGACCACCATGTCTCGCGATCCTTGCGGAGGCTTTGCTTAAGCAGCCGGTTAATAGAACGGCGCCGCTCGTTGCAATCTGATTCCGCGGAGATATCTTTGCGGCGTTCGAAGAGCTCCAGAGAACGAGCAGAGATCCAAGACTTCAAAGGGCATCGAGTTAGACCGCAGTATGACTGTCCGGAAATGGTCAGCGCTTTCCGTATACAAGTCCAGTGTTGTTCCACTTCTCGCGGTGGATTGCAACTGAGTGCATATGCCAGTGAAGACTGATAGCTCTCCTGGACAGAGGAATCAGTTAATCTGTTTACATCAGTCTTGCGGTGCTTCGTGTTTCGGGATCCTCCAAAACACATACAGATTTTCGCGCAGACCAGAGCATGATCTGAATCAACGAAAGTGGACCAAAAGGACCTGCAGTCCAGTACGCTGCCGCGCCATCTGAAGCTAATCGCAATGTGATCAATTTGAGACCAAGGTTGTGTTGGCGAAGGGGGACGCCAAGTTGCGGAACGTTTCTTCGTACGCCTGAAGCTAGTGCTCGAGAGAAACAGACGGTTGTCCTCGCACAATGTGAGAAGTCTCTCTCCGTTATCAGAGCGGTTCTCATCGAGCGCGTGATGACCACCAAGGTGGCGTTCGTATGGTAACAGGCGGCCAACCCGTGCATTAAAATCCCCAGCAAGGATAACGACATCCAACTTTTTAGCATTAGTCAAGAGCTGTTGTAGATCTCGGTAGAAATCGTCCTTGACCGAGTCGCTACTGCAGTCAGTTGGAGCGTATACAGAGATCACCAACAAGTTGCGTCTCTCTTCGCGTTGCCTGTTGATTCTACATGAACCCCGAAGCCGAACTGCACATAGTCGGCTGTTAATCGGGAACCAGTCCAGTAGTGCCGCCTCGGCCTTGCCACTCAGTGCTATACCTACACCAGCCAAACCCGCTGAGCTTGCTTCTGGATCTCCAGAAAGACGCAGGTGATATCTGGCTTCGTGGTCAGTGGGGGATGTCAATGTAAGCACAGTGCTGGGATCTTGCAATCGGGTTTCTGAAAGACAGCAGACATCAATGTCTAGGGAATCTAGGGTGCGCGCTAGACCGGCTTGCTGTCCAATCTGCATGAGTGTCCGGACGTTGAAGCACGCTAGACGGAACGAGGATTGGGGACGAAGGAGAGCCATAGGTTGAATTCCTTGATCTGTGGAGCAACCGGAATCGCAGCCAGATTGTTGAACAGATGAATCGGGTAACCGAAAGTGAGGATTGTTAGCAAACAAACAATTGGCGTGTGATGGAGTAGCGTGAAAGTGAGTAGCAGGAATAGTAGCTGATGAGCGCGTTGTGGTACAGTCCATGGTTTTGTGAGAGGGCGTGATACTACCCGGTTGCCCAAGCCGAAGTTGGGAGTTGACTTAAGGGACTCCACCCCGAGCCTTTGGCTAAATAACCTACCCGCAAGGCAGCGGGGCGAATTTAGGGAATCGCGCCCATTGGGAGGCGTTGACTGAATGATCAGCTCATGCGCCTTTGTTTGGTAGATTACCAAACAGGGGCCCAATACTCCCCATGAAGTCAGCACAATTGCTGGAATACAATGCCCCACGGAGGTGGAACATTGTCGCCGAACACTTTGCTGGAACGGGGTACACCCGAACCACCCAGCTGGCACCACGGGGAGGTAGTTCGGCAAGCCAGCCGAGAGGATTAGTAACGGTAGTCATGTTACAGAGGACCCAGAGAAAGCGCAGGTGTTGCTGCACGTCTTTCAGGACCTATATCGTGGTGTCATCTCCCCTCGCAGCCTCATCGTCAAGTTGCGAGTACGATGTCAAATGATCCATTAACGGTGTCAGAGGTCCTCCATGTCTTAGAAAGCTTGAACCCCTACAAATCGACGGCCTGATAAGCTACATCCTGCCCAACTGCTCGCCAGTATACTCCAGCTTCCCGCCTTGGACCTGTTCATCGTCACTTCGGAAGGAGACAGCTATTGTCGTAATACACAAAGGGGTTTTTAAATCTGTCCTTATCAACTACAGGCCTGTCAGCATTACCAGTGTGATGGCTTAATGCCCGGAATAGATTATCAGGAACCGAGTTTATCGTTCCTAATTTGATAGAGGCGGAGCAGCATGGCTTCGTCAAATAAAAATCATGTCTCACTAATCTGCTGTGCTTTTTGGATGAGATAACTAGCTGCCTCGATGAGATTTCACTAGTTTGCTATCTAGACTTTAGCAACGCTTTTGACTTTCCTCCACAAGTGTCCTGCGAAACGCAGATTCGACTCAAGTTCATGGGAACCGGTCCATTCCTGTCGCCCAACGCAAGCATCTATGTGGATGCAGTACTCAGCGAAACAGTGCGCTTTCCCAAGGCATTTGACAACCGACGCTTGTCCAGCATCAGTTCGCCATGTGCCACAGCCGACCGATCTTCAAGCATCCTCCACCACTATTTCACGGCTACTGCTATCTGGGAGGCTCCCTCCACACTCTCAAAGATACCCCAGCTTACAATCCGTTTACCTCACAATCCTGCTTCGGGTGTCGGCGACAACAGTTTCAGGTTAAGGAGCAGCTGTCTAAGCCTCTAAAGCTATGTGCTACTCTACCCCCAAAGAATACCTCATCCAGAACTGAATTCGATTCAGTTTTACAATCCAACTTGCCTTTCTATGTGTCCCCATACAGGAAATAACACTTACTTGGGAACATTCTGAGTCAGTCTCCTGCACTTGTACCTAGCGTTTCCGTTTCCTCTCTCGTTTCTGACTGCACTGCACCGCCACGTGTGTCAGCTATTCACATAAATTGCGCCGTACAGTTGAGAACACAACCACAGAAACCGCTCTATTATACTATTGGTGCCCTGCACTGCACGGATGATACTATGCCTCTGCCCTCGTCATGTTGCGTCTCACCGACGTGTAACACATCAGGTATTTTAACACTGTTCGCAAAAGTATGTTTATCCACAGAAACTGACTCCGATCCCGAACTGCGATGTGCTTTGCATTATCAGCCATTCTGCCACCACGATTTACCTCACCCAACCCTTTCCGCTCTCATCTTCCATTGTTTTTCAAGGGAGTGCGACGTTATCCATACATTTGAAAAACAGACGCACAAATCGAGTCACACGTAAGTGCGAACGCGTGTTTTATATATCCTAAATCAACACCGTTTGGTCTCGTCATAACAGCTGCCACGACGCCGATCAACATACTACTTCATACCAACATCATGGTTGCCAGATCAACTTTCCTATCCCTCATCGTCCTGGTCCACCTTGTGCGTCAAGAATGACGCACACTTGTTGTAGCGATATTTAGTTACATGTTTACCTGTTTGTATTTTGTTGCAGCTTTCTGCGAATGTACACTTCCGTGCGCTTGCCGTGTTCTCGTTTCTCGGCTCGGCTGCTGTGCTGTGGTGAACTGTTCTCATATCAAACCGAGAAGTAACACTATCTTTCACTTTTTCAGCTCATTTGACCTGCTACAGCCCCCTCTCGGACCATTGCGCACTACATCCTTCACGCCTTCAACCAAGGTCATGGGCCCTCTCGAAGTTGCAATTGCACGTGACGCTCTTGTGGCCGTTGATAAGTTGATCCACGAAAGCACGGTTAGATTATATTAGCCTGATCTGCATTTTATTCACAGGTGTCGGTTACGCTTGAAGAGTCCTTAGGAAGCTTGATTGCGGATGGAGGCGACAGTCTGTTGTGCATGGATATCCTGCGAATGGAAAACTTGTGGCGAAATATCAATCAGCAGAAAATAGTGGATTTACATTTGCCAATTATATATTTTCTAGAAAATGCATGCACTAGATTACCTTTTCACGAAGCTTTCTGGCAATAAGCACGAGCGAACTATTACGCAAATACTTTGGGGCCTTGATGTTCTAATTGAAAAGGCAGTCTTTACCCCCAGGTTTGTTCGCACACCATTTTAGTGTTCCCTAGGGAAGTGGCGCATTCATTAGTATGCTGCGATCAGCTTCGCGTTGACTGTTCACCGTTCTTCAGTTGTGCATTCAAGCTTCTTTTGAAGCTGATATTCTTCTTGGATTACAAGGTTTTTTCCTCATTTCATAACATTCACAGAGCAATCGCGAAGTGTTTAACAAAAGCATAGAAAAGTCCTCTCAGTTCACCACTTCTTTTGACGATAACCGTAACATGATGCGCGTCATCGATCCGGCTGTCGAAGTATCTTGCTTTAAACTGACTTATCTTTAGCTCATACAACTTCTACTTTCGCGTGAAATGTGCTTGATGCCAGCATATTTTGCCATGCACGAGTTGATTAGAAGTTTTCCAGGGGAATTGGGTGCGATCCCACACAAGGTATTCTCTCCAAATGCTACTCACCCCTTTTAGTCAATCCAGCAGAATATACCCGCTTTCATGGATAGTTTTGCTAAACCTGCTCGACTTCTTTATTGTCATGGTGAGATATATTACCTAATTGCATTTGCTGATCTTGGCAGAGTGCAACCATAGAATTTACTTCACTTGAATCTCCATCGTTTGTCCATCCGCTCACTTGCACGTGTCCCTAGGCACACTGTGTGTGTAGTTTAAGGTTACCGAGTTGGATTATGCTGTTTTAACTTTAACCATTTTATTTGCATCCGGATCTTAATAATCGCCAAGTTGCTTAGTTTGCATGCTGGGCTATCTCGACCTTCCCTTGAGGCAGACGAGACATCATCGTACTGACGCTTCGGTGCTTCGCGACTTCGGCTAGTCGCACATCGGCTAGATATACTGCTAGTTCCTCCACATCTATGCAGATTCCACCCTGCGACTTCTGGATTACATGACAAGCGTAATCCTTTCGACCACCTGCCAATGACATTTTTTAACTCGTTGTGTTCTTCGTTTCATGACCGACAGTGGTAGTCTTTGGTTTGAAAGCTGAGTTTGACTGAATTTACTCGGACGTCGCGAATTAGCTGCTGTCGACTTTCAAATCTAGCGTTTTTTCGGCAGGGGGACCGTCGCTTCAACACGCATGTGTGCGTCCAGTAATTGCGGAGTAAACGACGAAGTTGGAGTACGGTTACTTTTATTTACAAACCATCAAGAGCGGTTTCCTTTCTGGATAGTTTCAGTGGTAGCCAGTAGGCCTATTTTAAGTGTTCGTTGTGTTATCCTTATACACTACGTGTACACGCATCTGATAACGATCTCACTTTTAAGACATTTGTTGCGTGTAATGATTTTGAGTCATCTTGGTCATTTTTAGACATTGCTTTCGCTATTTATATTAACTCGGGTACCTATTTGTGCATCTCTCCTTCCCACCGTTTTTACACGACTGATGTAATCGTAATTTCCACTTATTATATCTTTGCTTACAAGGTGCTTGAACCCATTCAGGCCTGCTCCTTTCCTACCCACGTAGATGAAATGAAATGAAAATGAAATGTGTCAGCTTATACGCCGTAACGGCGCTTCGCTGCCGCGCGACCACCACCAGTCGCGCGCGGGCAGAGTATACCGCGAGGACGCCCACCCCTACGCGGATTCGAACCGGTGACCTTATGGTTGGAAAGCAAACGTGCCGACCACTCGGCCACCGGCCGACGTATAGTCCATTCCACTCCATTTTGTTTTAAATATTTTCCCATACATTTTGTTTATTCTTTTTTTATTTTCTAAATATTTTGTTAACCGGATCCGCGGAATTTGGGTGCACGGATCGGGATCGACTAGTTGGATTCAGATCAAGTGAATCGAACTAGTCAGAATAAATTTTTATGTGCACCGCATTTGGCGCACCTGGACATTATGTGGCTATTAGAAAATCATCTGGTTTCCGAATTTGTATGTAACTTGGCAACTTGAAGGCGATGACAATGATGCGAATATCTCGGTGCTTTTAACCCAAGGTTTCCTAGTTAGCCATCAGCCGCAGAACGCTAAGCTCTTTGCTTCACATGGGCGGAAGATAGCTGCTACTGTACTCACCGTCCATGGACAAAGATACTATAGCATTGTAATGGACATAGCGTATGTCTGTTCTGAGGAACTACAGTCTGTTCGCCAATCGGGCTTATCGAACGGGCGTCGAATGATTTTATACTGTAAGTGGCAACTTAGCTTACCCCTTCGCACAGATTCCGAAGTCATTTCTCGTGTCATTTTTGTGGCCTAACTGTTTCCGCCATTTGAATCAAGCTCACTGATTTCGCATCTTGACGGTGCAGTACGATCTCTGGCCTCATCATCATCATCCTTACACATAAGCTGAAGGTGAGAAACACACTTCAACTATTGTGCCGGCCTCATCTTTCGAGAGGGTATTTTTGATGTTCCTCACTGATCTGCTTAGGCATATTTCTTGTCCACAAGACCGAGACGGATATACGTTTGCATATGATCCATTCGATACGTCGACCAAAATAGTCAAATTAATAACGCGGTGCTGCTTTCGTGTAGCCGTACATTTTTGCTTTTGGGTCTTGTAAGCTTGTTTAAGATTGGCAACACACAGCGCTGTAGTTTTCTAGCTGTTATAAGCATTTAGTTGCATAGAAACGCAATCTACAGCGGGCGATTTTGGGCGCTTTTTTGCTTGTATTGGCCGTGATTCTATTTCTTTATGCAACCTACCGAAACCGATAAGCTATGTGTGTTCTAACTCATCAGCTTGCTCAAGCCTAACTGGACTTAAAACCGGCAGCTTGTCTTTCAGGACTTTTAAGTGAATAAAGACGCCCTTATTTCAGCTTTTTTGTGAGGGGTATGGAGGTTGAGTTATGCTATACTAAACCCTCTTCAACCTGTAGCTTCAACGAAAAATGCTGACACGAGTTACGATATGTCAGCATGTCAGCTGCTCACGTCAGTCCCGAACGCAGTACCCACGAAGGCGCATGCGTTGATAGACGCACAGACACACCATATATATATATATATATATATATATATATATATATATATATGGTTGGCGACATCCGGTTTCGGAATTGCCTGTCACTGTGGCCAGCCACAGGACCCCTGCGCCTACAAAGGGACCATGGATGGCTTGCGCTGCACCACCCACAGCTCCAACCACACACCCCATATCCAGTGTAAACCCGAAGGAATAAGACCGGGAGGCATGTGGATGGGAGCCACGTTTCATCAACGGAGCCTGCCCACACTCCTTCACAAGCAAACACAAACATGCTGCATTTGGGAATCACCCTATCCCCACACTCATTAACAAGCACACTGTATTTGGGGAATCAAGCGCACACAAGGCGGTGGCTGGACCGTAGTCCGCTCCACACTGAGTGTATGGAACCACTCTTTGATCCTAACGCGGTCACAAGGACCTTGCACCCCGTCCTCTCCAGCAACGACCAGCTCTCTCCTAGAGGCAGTATGGACGAGGTAGTGGGTAATAGACAGGTAGGCACCTTGTCAACATGCACATCAAGTGTAGCCACACCGGGGATATCAAGCAATAGCCACTTATTTGAAACAAAAAGTTGAAATAAAATAAATCGCATAATGCATACAGATACGGACACATAACTCTTCACTAAATGAGCGTATACAAAATGATTACGAACGAATCCGCGATAAGTTCAAGTGGTCAGAAAACATATTTTAAGCAAATGCCACAAACGCGAAAATGTTATCGAAATTAATTACAGTTGGCTTCAACAATAATTGCAAGTTTATAGAAAACAGTACAGGTAGACAATAATATGAGAAAGAAAATCATTAGGACAAAATTGTAAACCCACCACCTGAAATAAATAGACTTAGCATGCAAGCACACGGTTAGTAAATCGAATACAGCGTACCTACAAACGCTGCGCCGGTTCTGTCTACTTTCTGTGCTGGACCCGTCGTCGCTTCGGTGGTGGTCCCGAGTGGCCTCGCTCATGGCTCACTAGGCCTGCCTGACTCAGGCACTCGCGAACGCATGTGCTACAGCACCATGCGCTTGATGTCGATGGAGTACAACCCATCGGCGCTCGCCTCTTCCGCATTTGCCATTTCTTCTCTGCATGCCTGAGGTCTTTCTCCTGCACTTCGAAAACTGCCTTCGTGATCAGATCGCGCCATGCACGCTGATCAACCGTCTTTGATACCCATGATCTGCAATCAAGATTAGAACATGAAAGGCTCACTTGGATCATGTCCTGGTAACGTAATTTTGGTTTCCCCCAACACTCAGCTGACTGTATAAGAGGTGTTTCGGTATCCGCGTCGAATCCATACGGCTCACATGACCGAGCCACCTCAGGTCTCTCAGCAAAAGTCTGCAGTCCACTGCATACATTCCACTTCGACGCAACACTTCCGTGTCCGCTACTTTGTCGCCCCATTCGATGCGCATAATCCGCCGCAAACACAGTTGATGGAACCGCTCGAGATATCGCACATCCCACCGGTACATCGTCCACGTTTCACTGCCGTATAGAAGAACGGACAGCACCATGGATTTGTACACCATCAGCTTCGTGCCAATGGTAAGCTGATGGTTGTTCCACACTCGGTACTCTAGCTTCCCGAATGCGCCGCTGCCTTCGACACGCGGATACGCAGCTCACTGTGTAGCTGCTGATCAGTCGACATCACACTCCCAAGGTAGCAGAAGCGGGAGGTGGTTTCCAATACTTCAGCACCAATGCTGATTCGCGGCAATATTGAAGATTGCACCTCCGGTGAAGGCTGAAAGAGACAGACAGTTTTGCTTGTGTTGATGGTGAGCCCGAATATAGCCGCTGTCGAAGCCAGAACACTAGTCATGTGCTGCAACTCATCCGCGCTGTGTGAAAACAACGCACAGTCGTCAGCAAACAGCAACATACGGATAGTTGTCTCACAGACTAGGGTTCTCGCACCGAAACGACGGATGTTCAGCAACTCACCATCAGTACGGGGCTCCACACGAACACCGTAAGCACAAGCCGCATCAAAAGCACAAGACAACATGACGATATATATTAAACAGGGCAGGAGCTAAGACACAGCCTTGTCTCACGCCAGAGACAACTGCAAAGTCATCCGAGGTCTCTCCACTCAGCTGCACCCGCGCTCGCATACCACTGTGCAGACGTTCAATTAAACGTACAAACTTACGCGGGCAACCCAACTTACCCAACACCAGCCACAATGCCTCGCGGTTCACCGTATCAAATACCTTGGTGAAATCAACAAAAAGCGAGTACAACGGCTGGTGTCGTTCTCTGCACTTCTCCTGCAACTGACTAGCGGCAAACACTATATCTATAGTGCTGCGACCCGAGCGGAATCCACACCGCTCTTCCGCCACGTTCGGTTCCACAACCTGACTGACGAGGCGGTTGAACAGGATTTGGGCAGTCACCTTGCCCACACAACTCAGCAAGTTGATGCCACGATAATTCGTGGCACATTGCCTGCTCCCTCTGCTCTTGTGCAGTGGTAGCACAAGGGCATCATTCAGTTCAGGAGCCACCT